ATATATATATATATACTATATTATCCTATCTTTAGGTCTACCTGATTGGTTTCGTTGCGCAATCGATCTATGTGCATCTTCAAGAGTCGAGACAGAATATCGGTCTTACTTTTCAATATCCTGTCGGTGTCATCCAGATTCTCGTACCAATAACGTCCATTCCCGTTCGCTTTTCGGCCGAAATTTAAGAATCTCGATTTTACATTGCTCTCATCTGTACCGATCTCCGAATTATTGTTCGAACCTCCGTTGAGGACATTATCGGTGCACTTTGCGAGATTTAAGAATAGAGAAAGTACTCCGATTATCAATGACAAAACTTTAAAAAATCCCATTGTTGTGGCTTCCATAAATCGTTTACAGCGATTTTCGACGAGTATGCTGAATAGTTAAATGAAATATTCCGAGACTGTTTTATTATTATTATTTATAAACACACACAAGTTAAAAAAATTGCATATTTTTGCTATTCTTCATCTATGCGAAAGGAAAATACATACGCACGTATCTAACGCAGAGATGATCTTTAGCGATCGTTTCGAGGATCGAGCGTGACACTTTTACGTCCATCGTTATATATTACGAGCGGAAAGATAATCTAGGTAGAGAACGTGGTAAAGAACATCGAGAGTTTGTCGTTAATTATTAAATTTGCACTTGATTGCGAAAGGTAAACGAAAGCATGCCGGTTGCGCATAAGAGAGACGAGTTTCTACTGAGCGCGGCAGAAAATTACGTTCAAAGAGCACGATGCGAATGAAGACAAGGGAGAACAAGGGAGCCTCTGTTTGATCGAGTTTCTTGAGTTGGCGAGCGCGTATTTGTGTGTAGCGATTTGTCTCGTTGAATATAATTTCTCATTAGCATCACCAGTTTGTGCGAATAAATTCAGCGTTGATTTTTATTACATTGATGACACTGCGATTATTTAAAATTGTCCCAGCTTCAATCCTTTGCGTCTGGAAAAAAATACGCACATTGTATTTAATATTTATCCATGAGCGCGCGCGTTATCGCGCCGAGATAGCACATTTTTGTGTTCGACGTAATATATGTTTGTATAGATAAAATTGACCAATGAAAAGTTTCCACCCTATTTATTTTGTAACCGATGATCTATACAAAAAAAAAAAGTCGAAACCGATCAGTTTTATTTTCGAGGAAAACATATGATTATGATAAAAATCAATCGATTACAAAATAAATTAACTTTTTATTATAACGCGTTTTGTTTCAACATAGTGCAGAGATATACGAAGTAAAGTTAAAACAAAAACTCATCAACTAACTATTCCGTCTTTCCGTCAACTAGACTCTGTTACATGATATTTCTGTCGTAAGAGCATCATGTTCGTATCGCGCATGGAAGGGATGGGGCACGCGCTATAGTATAACATACACGACATGAGAGGATTGCTAGATAGTTTCCACTTGAGCCTCATACGTGTCACACAATGTGACATGTCGGTTAATTTTTGTGCTTTATTAACGTGGGATATCGTTCATTTATACATATATCGTCGAAACAAAATTTATTATCTCACATATTACCTGCAACATAAAATAAAATTTCTTTATCACGGTCAGAGAAAAAAAATAGATTATCTTGATTTGGTTCAAAACTATGGTTTCTAAAGTTAAAATCAAATAATAATTTATTAAAATTAAAATTATTATGCGCGCGAGAGCAAGTGTGTATCAATCATGTTAATCGCAAAGATATTCTTAGTGACTGTACTCCTCGTTATGAGTTTCGCATCGGAAGA